GTGTGTGTGTGTGTGTGTGTGTGTGTGTGTGTGTGTGTGTGTGTGTGTGTGTGTGTGTGTGTGTGTGTGTGTGTTCATATATTGGCAGTTATATTATGCAAAGTTCTGAGAAATGTATTAAGAAACAATATAATTCAATAATTTGAATATTATATAGTGAAATAAGATTCCGAAAAAGTTAGTCAAAATTCACATTCAGTTCTACGAAGTGTAAATAATTGCGATTTCTGAGTACTTTCTTAAATTTTTATAGCATAGTCTGTTACTTAAAAATTATTAGAGAAAAAAAAAATGACAAAATTTTTTTAATTTTAAAATTCTTTAGGTCTCTTTATGCAGTGTTGTCAAATTTTATAGGAAGACAACGTATATAAAAAAAAAATAGAATTAAATAGAATTAATAATTAGACTTAAATAATAAAAAATTAAAGCATTTAATAAAATTATTATATGGTTTTATAACAGAATTAAAAAATTCGTTTTTCTAATCATTTTTTTGAATTTTGAACTTTGTATTTTCTGGCATACAAAATTATGATATACATATATGAAAAGATCATAGAATGAATGAAACAAAAGAGATTCTATCCTTATCAAAAATGTATATGTAATTTTAGATTAAATTAATGTGTACTTGTTACTTTTCTCTAACGTATACATATCTAATATGATGCATTTCAGTGTAGTTTTTTAGATAAACCACTTTTTCTTTTTTTGTGAATGTGACTTAATGACTAGTGACAGAGTTTACTGTTGAATCCGGATCCAGGGCAATTTCAGCACGCTTGTCTTCTTCCAGCAAGTCATTCATCTTTATGCCTAGACATATATCTGCCTATAAGAATCGTGATCACAAGTGCAATCAGAATAACCGCTAAAACGCTACCCAGAATAGCTGCATCAGTCTCGTTATATGCTGCTCTCACTTTTTCCTCATCTACTTGAGATAATTTCGTTTCTTTAATATATGATGGATGCGTTTGATTCCGCAGAAGTTTTCGGTTACTGGAGGACCGAGTGAGCAGACGTTAACAGGTTCTTTTGAAAGAGTAGCTTCAGTGGATATATATCGTTGAATTCAATCCTCGATATGCATCTCTCGAATCCCTCTGACAAAGACTCGTTTCTGCCGATGTACATGTACTGAATACATGTGTTGAATTGTGCGTCTGCAGAATATGCTTTATGTTAAATTTAAACTCCTTTGTCTCATAATTATCGACCTGCAATGTCAAAATAGCGCCAGATTTTTTCCTGCTGATCCTAACATCGTGATACTGTCCCAAACCGAAATGCTTCTTCGGAAATACGGACTTCCTGCCGTTCAAAACCGAAATCAAATACTACGCGTAAATATCCGCCGTTTGAAATTATTATAGTCATGTATTTTCCAGAAATATTGGAGAATAAACCTAATAGAAACCCTTTCAGATTCGTTGCCGTAAAGCCAACGCGTATTTTTTCAGAGATAGTGGAACGCCGGTTACCCGCGAAATCGTATTTTATCGAATTAGGTTTCATGTATACTCCAATTTCTGCACAAATTGGTTCCTTAAATGCGATAAACATATTTATGTGAATCCAGTAATAATACGTACCGCAAGATTTTAAGCTTGTCCCTATTAATGTGCCCTGTATTGGAGCTAAGAACGTTGTGTTATGAGTATATATTGAAATAAATGTAATTGAAATAATGATTTATGTAATATTAATTTAAATAATTAGCTTAAATTTATTATCTGTTTTAGTAACTATATGTTAAAATGAGTAAATATGGCTAGGCACACAAATTGGGGGCACATTAATAGGGCCATCGCCGTTTGGAGGACTCATTAATAGAGACAAAAACATTATTTTTTATTTTTGTCAAAAACATTATAAAGTATTAACATTTTTTAGATTAAAGAAATATTATAAGAAAAAGAAATAACTGAAAAACCGATATTGATTGCAAGATAAAATTAAAGCTACAATATTTAATAATTAATTCATTTAATAAGCAAGTTGGCTAAAAGGCACATTTAATAGGGACAGTTACTCTATTACAAATATAAAAGAAATAAAGAAATATGCCGCGGCCATTTGCCGTTTTATTACATAATATTACGAATAGGATAAAAGAAACAGAGGAAAATTTTATAAAAAAGAATGAAAAGGCGCAGTTACTTATATTTCTACCAATTATAATGTTATTTTAATTTTAATTCAAGTAACTATTTTAATCTTGATTTAATTTACTTTTTATTTTTTCTCCAGTTCTAGAAACTAGAAAAAATAAAGAAATAAAGAGATTAAAATTCATTTCTCTGGAAAAAATGAACATAAATAAACCAATGTCTTGTAGTAACTAATTGGTGTCTTTAAAAGAAAAATAAGAAATTCAAGGAAAACGATAATAGTTTTCAGTATTTCTACAATATTTTATGTATTTTCTAAGTTTACGAATCTTTTTTTAGGATACAAATTTAAATCTAACTAGCAACAATAGCTTAACATTTATAAATATAAAATAGGTGATATTATATAAAAATGTCTAATTGTGGAAATTGATTTTGTAGCGCTGAACAATGTCGAGAAATCAAACATGTTCTTCAATATGATCATTGAAAACGTGTATGCGATTTTTTGGAACAATACTGCGCGTGGTTGGTGTCCTCAAAAATATTCACCCACGCGCAAATTTTAGCAACGCGCTCAGTTCTCTCAGTCGCGTACATTTTATCTCGATAAAATGATAGTCGTTATGCTTCTGTCATGATAAACGGAATTATGAACATGTGCATAGGAAACCTTATTTTAAATCGTTTAAATAATATGCATTAATAATTAAAATTAGTTAAAATTAAATTATTTTAAGATAAAAATGTGCTAATAATCCTGAAATAATTTTAATAATGATAATAAAAGATGTAAAATATGATTTCTACATAATAATAAGGCGAGAGCCCTGTGTTACTTTTAGGCACGATACTGTCGAGAAAATCACGTGTTGGTACGCACGCGCGCGAAAACTCGTCGAGAATACTCGAAAATGATCGAACGAATGGACGGAATGGTGGGGTCTTTCTCACAGTTGCTCATGGTTTGGGAACACTGACCGCGCGGCTTTGCGCTCTGCAACTTTGTGTCGTCAGCCCGCATGCGACGCGGCGATATCAGTGTGATGTGACACTGCTGTGTGCTATCACGTCGTGTACCGTACGTTTGGCGCGCAGCGTGAAATTTACGTACAACGCAGTAGGTTAAGTCACTGTTCACGTCAACCCGTGTGCAGGGACCGGGGCCAATAAAAAGAAAGAAGTAGAACTAGGTCGCAGGTGATTGTCTGCAATCTGCATCTGCAGACGTGCACGTGGTGACGACGAGCCCGAGGTCAGCGGTGTCGACGGAACATGGCAGCTAAAATGCAGCTCCCATTCGAGCCACCGAGCTCGGCGAGTTCTGAGAGGTATGTGTGAGGAGTTTCCTCTTTTTTTTTAAATTTATTTCATAGCACATTTCCACTCATCAACGTCCATTGAAAATCAACGAAATTTCTATTGCTGATATTTTGCTAGCGACGACGGCGACGCGTGTTTGGATGATCGCGAGATATTCCTCGCCGACGAGTTGTGCGAGGATGTTGAGCATTACAGGCACTCTGACGTAGGCACGCCACAATCCCCGAGACCACCGTCCACAGGTAAATTTATTTGTTATTGGCTTTCTTGTAAGATTTCAGTCTGATATGCCTGATCTAGAAGAGCAATTTTCTTCTATCTAAAACTCATTCTAATCTAACATGTGGTAGTGATTTACTTTTTTTATTAACAAGACCTGTTAGTAGAACTTGTTTGTAGAATTAGTAAGATAGAATTATGTTAATACATCTGATGATGTACATAAATTTCTTACATATATATACAAATATGTAATATATATTTATATATGTTTGTGATAACAGAACGATATTTATGTGTGACAACTTACATCTGTTATTCATTGATAATGAATCATCTGTAATATATAGATTGTCTTAGGAATATATATATATATAAATATTTTATGAATGAAGTAATTGTAATAAGATAAGATATGAATAAAATATCAATAAAATATGCTTACATGACTTATAAATAATACATATAGATAATAGGATAATAAGTAATATACATAAAGTGTAGTTAAGTGTACATATGTCATATTTATTAAATCCCACATATATATAGTATATATAGATGCATTGTTTACAGAATCAATACTTCAATGTACCTGTAAAAGAAGATTCAAACAATTCATCGTCTTTTCTTAATGAGCTCCTAGAAGACATTTAATATGAAATATATAGAAGGTTTTCTTCTTACTTTTAATCCTATTCCTATTCCTTTGATTAATTAAATCCTTTATTGCAAATCACATAAATAAAATTATATAAGGGATTATGTAGCCAAAAAATAAATATTGATTATTATGTGGAGATAGAAAGATAAGATATTTATTATATAATTAAACAGGTTCACAAAAGTCACCACGATCACGAAGGCAACGCACTACTAGCATGTCACAATCAAGTAAGAAGACATCTGCAGAATCTATTCTCAGGAGCAAAACGCGAACTATTTATACAGCTGGAAGGCCTCCTTGGTACAATTCAGCTGGTCAACAAGTAGAACCTTTTGTAATTGGTTAGTGACATTTATTGTTAATTTAATTACAATGATTTTTAATTTATAACTTGATGGATGATTTAAATTTTTTATATGAAATAAATTTTGATTACTGATGAATATATTTGCGATAGGTATTTGTGGAGGCAGTGCCTCTGGAAAAACGACAGTGGCAACTAAAATCATAGAATCTCTAGATGTACCATGGGTGACCCTCCTTAGTATGGATTCTTTTTATAAAGTGCGTTAAATATTCTAATAAGTATAGTATTTATTAAAAATATCTTGTACAAATTTGTCATTATCATAATGGAAAACAATTCAGTAATATTGTAGATACCAAATATTTATCTTATATTTTTATTTATGTCTTTGTCTTATATATTTATCTTATAGGTATTAAATGAGAAGCAGCACGAGATGGCTGCACACAACGAGTACAATTTTGATCATCCTGATGCATTCGATTTTGAACTTCTCAAAACTACGTTGCAGCGTTTAAAGGAAGGACGCATGGTAGAAGTTCCTATTTATAATTTTGTAACACATCGTAGAGAAAGTAGAACGGTAAGTTGACTTGATTGTGATTTTTACTTAATATGCAAGAAATCATCGCAACTTATACAATTTTTTTTCTTCTTTATTCGAAAGAAAACCATGTATGGTGCCAACGTCATTATCTTCGAGGGAATACTTACTTTTTACAATGTCGACGTCTTGAAGGTAAATCGGTAAAAAGATAAATTAATTTAAAGATTGGGAAAATATATCGAAAGAGAGTAAATAGATAAACGTTTCATCAAGCTGTGCGATATGAAAGTTTTCGTCGATACTGATGCGGATGTCAGACTGGCCAGGCGTTTACGAAGGGATATTTCGCAAAGAGGCAGAGACCTGGAGGGTGTATTAAAGCAGTATAGTAAACATGTGCAGCCGGCTTTTTATTATTACATAGCACCTCTTATGGTTCATGCGGATATTATTGTGCCGCGCGGAGGAGAAAACGAAGTGGCAATAGAGCTAATTGTACAGCATGTTCATACTCAACTTCAATTGGTAAATTGCTAGCTTTTATTTTACATTTTAACGTAAAATTATTATCAATGCTAACAATCTCTGTGCGACTTTCAGAGAGGTTTTAAATTGAGGGAAAAACTGGCGCATTCATACATCGGTCAGCCATTGCCTTCATCTTTGTACTTACTTCCAGACACGCCGCAGATAAAAGGTCTTCATACGTTTATACGAAACAAGGAGACCTATAGAGATGAATTTATTTTTTATTCTAAACGCTTGATTCGTCTAGTCATCGAATATGCGTTGTCTTTGCTGCCTTTTGAGGTAAATACAAATGTACATAAACATTATAAATGTTCAATATGAATTCTTCTCTTATGTTCAATATGAATATTTGTTTTTTTTATTCAATTTGTATATTGGTTATTTTATTTTATCACAACTCTAAATAAAAGAGGCCAGAATTTTTTAATTAATTTTATTGTAATTTTTATAAGAATTGAAAGCTCCTAATTTTTGACACATGTTATAATATATTATTTTTATATGAAGGATGTAACTGTCGAAACACCGCAAGGAGTATTATATAGCGGCAAACGAGGTGCGACGGACAAAATATGCGGTGTATCGATATTACGCGCCGGTGAGACTATGGAGCAGGCTGTTCGAGATGTGTGCAAAGACATACGCATAGGAAAAATTCTCATCCAAACTAATCAGCAAACTGGCGAGCCTGAAGTAAGCACTCGAACATTTTTCTTTCGCAAATCTATCCTTGATCAATGACCGATGATTCATTTAATTTCTTGTATCTAGTTGTATTATCTCCGATTACCAAAGGACATCAAAGATTATAGAGTAATATTGATGGATGCCACTGTTGCGACTGGTGCTGCTGCTATTATGGCGATTAGGGTACTTCTGGATCACGATGTTGCTGAGGAAAATGTACTGTTGGCGTCATTGTTGATGGCCGAATCTGGCGTACATTCGATTGCTTACGCCTTTCCGCGAGTGAAGATTGTCACTTCCGCGTTGGATCCCGAGATAAATGAGAAGTTTTATGTATTGCCCGGTATTGGTAATTTTGGCGATAGATACTTTGGCACTGAACCATCTGATGATTAAGGTGATTTATAGATCTCTATTTAAAATTCTTATATTCGCTACGTTGTGTAAATTGTGATATTATAAATGCAGATATTAATAATCTATCATATCTTTAGCAAAATTAACATTTCTGTTTGTGCCTTGTCCTCATTACAGTTTTATCTTATGTGACATTTAACTTGAAACTAGCTATCGTATTGCTATTTTATATGCGATGCTGGCTTTTCTTTAAATGTCAATTTATGCTCAAAGAGTCGTTGTGCCAACGCCACCGGTTTCCGCGTCGGTATCAGCGGCAGTGCCACGTAATTGTCTATATCCTCGTGAACTAGCTCGATGCGAGCGTCTCCATGAATCCAAATTGCCGCCAGTGGGGTTGTTTGGTTGACTCAAAAGATATGTTATTAAACGATCCAATGCGATCAAATCTTCGCTTGTATTACCAGAATTCAAGCCTTTGTGTGACTGTAGATTTCCATCTGTTATTTCTTCAGTGTTTTCACTGTCTTTTATGTTACCTCTACCCCCAGTTCCGCGAGCAGGAAGACCAAGCCGAGGGCTAATCTACAATATTTTTTTTTAATATTAAAAGTAATTAAAAATATAGTAATAATTTAATTATTGTTATACATACATATATAAATTATTATAAATATTATTACAACATAAATATTACATATTTAAATTTATATGATATTTAGGGAATACCTCTTCCGGTCCATGCCCATAACTGAGTCTTTGTACTTTTCTGAAAGTTTCGTCATTTATCGCTTCTCTGACTGCTTCGTTTAATGTACGTTCCAATGCTCGTTGTTTAGTTTTACTCAATCCATCGTAGAAACTAATTCAAATCAGAATATTAAGGAGTCGTATTTTTAGGGTCATGTTTACAACATGAATATTTTTACATTACCTATGATATCACATAGATAAAGTAAGCTAAAGTATAACTCTTTTTACCTTGAATTCAAAGAACTGTTATCTCTAGAGATATTCTTATCGCGAACCAGCCGAATGTCATGTTCCCAGAATCGACGCAGTTCCGGTGTTGACGTATACGGTGCGGCCACTTCTTTAATCTGCGGTTGCGAACGAATGATTATGGCGAAAACAAAAAACGTATAAAAGTGGATTATAAAGTGTATTATATAAAATCGGTGCATTTGTCGTATCGCGATGTAATTTGCTTAACTCTATGGCAAAGTCGTAATTAACGACGTCAGTATATGTTGTGTCGGTGATGTAATAATACGAGATGCAAATTACAGCTGCAATTTGCGATTGTTCTCGACCATTAACGAGTAACTATGTAGCGTGCTAACTTTAATTACCTTCAAGACTATTATCGCCGTAATAAAGATGCACATTACATTGATAAACGTTAGACACGCGCTGATAATGCCATTACAGAAGAATTCTACGGGCAAATAATCGCTGTAGATATACGTATAGGAGCTATTAAAGTTTGTGTAAGATTCGCCTTTAATATGGGGCATTTTTATTGGTCGATATATGAGCCATATGCATCCCAGAGCCCAAAATAAGCCCTGCGAAAAATAAAAATGAATTTTTAGTTTGATCAATATAACATTAAAAATATTACATTATTACATTAATCATTAACAGTTATCCAACAATGGGAGAAAGAGAAACATCTTTAACAATACATGTCTAATTATTATTGCATAGCACTTTACTTTTATATGATATATGCTATTGTTCTCTTACGCAATTGACGACTGGCGGTAGTAACGAAGCTGATATGGCGACACCAATTAATGGCCCATTACTACCTTGCAGCAAAGCGACCGCGACACCTGTGCCAGATGGAAGAGCCCAAAGAACACCCATCCAAAGCGATCTATAGTTGCCTCTATAGAAAGAAATTATCATTTTGAGATAAAATTTCTAACTATATATTTGAAATGTATATAATTGAAAGCCATATGCAATCTATTGCGTTATTATAATAACATTGTTTGATCAGTCTCTTAGTGATATCCACCTGCCCTTCATTTCGTCGGTTGGCCAGTCGCCATAGCCCCAAGGCATTTCAGTTGTACCGAGGAGAAGGCCGAATATAAAGCCAAATAGTATCGATACGAAGATACCGAGCATCAAGCTTTTCAGACCGACCAGTTGCAGCTTTCTATCGGCTATGATCGTCCCGAAAGTCAGAGACATCACAGGTCCCTTTGATCAATGAGACGATGATCAAAAGTGTTAAGTGACGTGTAAACAATGTTTAACGACTAACAAAGTTGCATTAAAAGGTTTTACCATGAGAGGAGAAACTAGCATAGCTGCAACGACATTAGTTGCACTGTTCTCGATGAGACCAAGTGCAGCGAGACAGCTGTAAGATCGTAGTTTTCACATAACTGATTATTATTAATACAACTTAAATATTGCGGCAATGTAAGATTAAGTTTATATTTAATATTCTACAACGCCTTCTTTACATATCCTGGTAGCATTAATAACGATAAATATAAATTGCCAAATAAATAATAAGAATTTTTTT